CATTTAATCAAATAATAAATGGGAATCGTCACACTTTTTTTCACTTAAATTCTTATCCAGTGACACTGAAGCTGCATAAAAAACTCAGACAATTTTTTAAATGTAAGATTAAAAAAAACTATCTCCATCCCAGATTCAAACCATCTCGGCACCTTGTATAAATTCAAAGACTGTAAATGTCCAGATGCTCTCATTGAAATTAGTTTAAAATCTTCAATGTTGAACTGATGCAGTTATTTTAGAGGCAGAGTTCAGGATGTTGTAAATATGAGACTTCACTTGCTTCAGTCATAACACTGAGTATCTGCGGTCATATACTGTGCTGCCTCCTCACTGCTGCCCCTCTCGGCCCATTTACCCTCAGACTGACTGTAAAGGCTGTTTTMTTGGCCGCCCGATATTCCTCTCTGTGTGTTTTCAGCACTCGCACAAATAGTTGCGCTGGAATGTCTGGCGAGTAATGTGCGTGCCACATGACAGCTATTTATCAAATACCAAGTCCCTCACCCAGGCTCTGGGCTTTGAATCAGACCGATGAACGATCACTTTCTGCTAAATGCTGTCGTCAGTTTTCTGTTTTAGATTTGACATAAAACAGTAACATGCTGGGATGCATTTCAAGTAAACTTTATGTATTGTTTGGTTCATTGCTTTGACCGGGAACAAGTTTCCTCTTCATCTAATCAAACTGATAGGAAATTCTGTCAGTTTCAGCTTCATGATTGATCTCTGAGCTTCTACAACTTGCATGATGAAGTCAAACATACTAAGTGCTCCAGTGACCACTGCGACTACTGATGTCTCGACTCTCCACAACGTTTCTATTTCCTTTAGRGATTTCTTGAGCTTTTTGTTCTCTTGATGCTACAGCCACTTGAGATTGTTACATCACCCCACCTTCTTCCGTAGTCAACCACCATGATATCTGATTGGTTAGCCATCAACCGTTAATCAGTCTGGATTTGGCGGTCCTACAGCCATTCTCCACCGGGGTCTTCTTTGACTGTGGGAACTCCAGTCCATAGTCAGCACAATGTTCCTGTATACCAGGGGTGTCAAACTCATTTTCACTGAGGGCCACATGAGTGTTATGGTTCCCCTCAAAGGGCCAGTTGTAATTAACTCCAAAGTTTCAACTTCAACTAAACATGAAACATCACATTCCTTGTCTCRTTGCTGCAGCTGAGCGCCGCTAACGTACTATAACTGAACTCTACATGGTCAACAAAAGAAGTTCATAARAGCTGTGTCATGGGCTGAGTATAATGCCCCTTCATCCTGTTTGTTCCATCATTTTGGTCTCCTTCAGCTAACTGAATTAAACGTGTACCATAACGCTTGCATGATGTTCCAAATTGTAAAAAAAAAAAAAAATGATTGAGTTTCTTCCAATTAGTGATGCACAGCACATCTATAAAACCAGAAAAAAAAGAACATTTCATTCAAGCTAAAAATAGAAGACTTATGGTGCGTTCACACCAAACGCGATTTCAGCRTCAGGAGCAGCAGGTTTACAT